GTGATTCATATTCATCAGTGACATAATACAAGGAAAAGTATATACTCAGTATACAATTTCCTCCCCAGATACACACTCATCTGTACATCTATGTGAGGCTTATGCACCAAGATAACATTCCCTGGTTCAGGTCAGAAACAGCCGAAATTTCTTCCACCTTTCCTGAAAACACTGTTGACAGTTATATAACCTACGGTGATTTTTCTCTCTTACACCAACTCATGGGATCTGAAATGATCATCAATAACCCCAGGAATGTAGCCATTCTCTTGTATCCTTGCCAATTAGTTCTGCTCTATGTACTTAGTCTTATTCTTGGCATAGCATGCAGGTTTCTGAAAAGACTGCCTAGATTTACGGAAAAGAGACTGGAGTCTTAAATTAGTCAGTCAATCCTAGAAATGAGTGTGTTCACATGGACATATCTGATCATTTGGAGATATTTTAGCATCACTTACATTCAGAATGGAAGTGGCAACATTTTTGACATAATTCCATCTTTCCTTCTTTTTGGTGACTTTACAAAGACATTTTAAATGTGTCATTAAACAACTGTCATTATTCTCTTTGTCAGTAGAACATAAAAATCTTTAAAAAGTCAAAAGCTGTACTGGTCAAATATTAAGTCAGTGATCTCGTTATGCCCTTCCATAAGCCAAACTCTTTATTTCTAAGTCTTGCTCATTCTCTATATGAAACCCATTGTACACAGCCACCTCGGAGCTTTATTCTGCTTATAAACAAACATATTTGTAGGAAACATTATAAAAGAACAATCACTGAATGCAGGTCAACTCCTGGTGCGTCTGAGGATACTTAATTTTAGTTTGTTTGGCTGGTTTTATTAAAGTAGAATAAGCAACTTAAATGCAGACATAAAGCTGCTTCTAGAGAACAGGCGATACTTGTTAACTCAAGTACTGCTTGGTGCTATGAATGTGAGAATGACTGTATCTGCAAATTTTATTTTTACTAATTGAAGTCTGTCTTCTACTGGTAAAAACATACAGTAATACATACATTCACTTAACAATGGCTTTACTTATTTTGTGTCAGATACTAGGTTACGTGCAAGAGATACCAAAATGAAAAGACAGCTCTCATTTTCATAATTTACAATTTTGCATGTCGACAGAGGTGAAAAATTATAGTGTATAGTATACTGCAGGTGTGATAATATTGGTATAATCTAAGACTATGAAACCAGTTACTGAGATTATAGTCCTAAATATATTATCATTATTACCCAGACACTTGATAGCCATTTCCAAGGGCATTGGAAGATTTCTGGTACATCTTAAAGCCAAAGACTATGTCAGCTCTTGGAGTTGAGAGCCTTAATATTTCTGTGGCTAGGATATGAAGGATTCAGAGAGAAAGAAGAGTAGACTCCCACAACAAAGCATATCAGCAAGGCCAGTTCCTACACATCAGTTGAAGAAGGGTCAAAAAAGTGTTCTAGGCAGCAGCACTCACAAAAGTCTAGAGACATGAAGACCATGAAGAAGAAGTTGTATCTCTATATTTAATATTATTGATAGAGTTTCTGTTGTGTTATGAAGGAAATGAAGGTACAGACATAAGCAGAAGTTATAGGGAGAGATCTTAACTAAAAGAAATGATTGGAAGGAAAGGACAATGAACATCAGGGGATGGACTGAGATGGAGCTTCCTGGCTTGGGTGTTGATCACAATAGCAGGGAACAGTAAAACAATGTGTGTCTGTACAGTGACGGGGGAGAGTTTCCCATTTTGACCGAATACAATTGATCATGTTTAAGATATATGTTTTATTATTAAAGGGAATAGAAAAACATATTCTTGCTTGATGAAAGGAAATAGTGGTTTGAATATTATACATTATATTTGTAACAAACTTGTTCCAGCATAACTACATCAGGCATTGTGCTAAGTTATGTAAATATATTCTCATTTCAGGACTACAATATCCCAATGCGTAATACTTTATTGTCTCTATTTTACAGAAAAAGGAAACTGACTCAGCGAAGGTCCACAAACTGTCCAAGGCCACACAGATAGTGAGAGGCAGACGTGGGATGAGAACTCAAATATTCAAATTTCACTCTCAAAACTTCTTGATTATGCTTGATATATATTTGGAATTCAGGGAGCATGTTTATATATTTAGTGAAAAGAAATAAAAGAAAAAAAGATTCACTTACTGATTAGAACCTTGGGGTTTTAGAAGTCTATCACTTAGTCACTTGTCTACCTTGTCCCATAAAACACCTTGGTGTTTTAGAGGAGAATTTATTCTAATGGCTATATCAACAGCAGTATTAATTCATAAGAAATGATGTGAATGTGCTATGTCAGCTGTTTAATAATTTTGGTAAATAAGTTGTCCTTTAAATTTTTCTGCTCACTCGAGAAAATATTCCTTTGCATAAACACACACACACACACACACACACATCTCTTGGCTAAGATGTGTTCCTGTAGTTGAAATTAAATCCTATAGGCAAGACTAATACATTTCTTTCTTTTTGAAATCATTGATTAGCATTGTTTTTTAGGTACCTCTATGAAGCAAATGGCAAATACTTTACATAGCCACCAAAGCCAGTTTTTAAAATATTATTTCAGTATAAATTATGTAACTAAAATATGAACATTCATGGTAAACAGGTAACTTCATATTATATTAAAACAGTGAGAGACTGAGATGAAAGAATGAAAACAACTTAAGGCAAATATAAGTAGGGTGGCTGAAATTAAGTCAATAAAATCTCTTCTAGAACAAAAGGCAATTTATTTTTTTAGAAAAAAATTACAGTGCTAGAGTAGATGTTTTCTCACTGGTGTCACTCCTTGTTTCTTATTTAATGCTCTTTGGATGATTAAATAATTTTTGAATGAGATTTATAATTCTTAGGGACTGTTAACTGACAAACAAATACCACATTTTGATGTAGGCTTATAATCAAATACTCTTCCTACCTTTATTAATGTGACACAATTAATGATTATGAATGAGGAAATTTGAGTAAAGGAAGGAAGGAAAGAAGAAAAGCAGGTGACTTGCTTAAGCCTGTAGTGATATCTTTAAAATTTAAAAAGTATGTCATTCAGCAATATGAGATATAATTTATATAAACTTTTAAAGCATTTAAAGCTAAAAACATTCATATTTTTTTAAATTTTGGGTCAATAATTCTAAAGTAATAGGTAAAACCTGGGAAAATCAAGATATTCTTAAAACTGAAAATTTTCTGATTTATTAAAACCTTCTCATAGCCTATAAATAGCTTACTGTAAGATGTAGATTAATAATATAATTAAAATTTATTTTGCTGTCTTCATTATGAAGCTAATATGGAATATATACAAACTTTAAAATGAAACAGTTGAATGTGAAGAAATCTTGCTCTCCTAAATATGTAGATAAGTAACTGATTCTGAATGTTATTTAGAAAACACTGAGAAAATGAGTTACATTTTGAAAAATCTGGAGATGATGTGGAAAATTGAATTAAGTGCATATTAACTTGGTATGAAAAATCTCTCTGTTCTCTTCTATAAATATTGCTTTTTTCCCACTTGGAAAAAATTTTGATCTCTATGTCAAGACAGAAACAAAGGAGAAGAAACTAGTAAACAAACCAATCAAATATAACATCAAAGCTCTAATTACACAGTCATGGTGATGTCAGTATGCCTTATGGAGCACCACGAGGCAGTCCACCCAATAAACCATAAAGTTGACAGCCTGAGTCTCACAGTTAAGAGAGGAATAACAAAAGAAAGTTTGTGATTTGTACTAACTCATCACCAAGAAAAATCTTATATTTACTGAAAGATAGTAAGGCCTTCTAGATGCAGTGGGAAAACAAGTGAAATCTTAAAGAAATCTAAATGCAAAATTAAATTCTGAAATAAAATATGTAAATATATTGATTCTTCTTTAGATTTGAGTTGATTAAAACAAGAACAAATAGCAACAAATAAAAAAAAAAAGGTCAGTTTCCTGTTGAATCTGGTAAAGCATATTTTCTCCAATTATAGGAAAAAGTATTATTATTTACAACCAACACAAAAATTACTCTGGAGGAAGAATGGATTGGTGGGTAATGCTACTAAAGTCCATTTGATTTACTGTTCTGTTTAAATTTTACCTTCATGTATCACTGAAAAGATGAATAAAGCCGTAACAGATCTTCACTGACAAATGGGATAAAAATCCAACTAGCATGACAATAACCTCCAAGCAGGAAAGGAAGCTATTACTCTTAGCCAGAAAGAGCATCACTTCTCTAGAAATTAACTTTTGGGTGGCATGACTAGAAATAGGGTTTAGGTTAGAGAATTTGCGATATCTGAAGAGGCAAGCTTTCGATTGCATTTTTTAAAGTAATGTTAACATTTTTCATATGTAATGTTGTTTGTGTTTACGATCTACTCATTAGCGTATGCACTTTCATATATGAAAAGTCTGTGCTTTAAAAAAGATTGACGCACACCACAGGAAGGCACATATGCCTCAATACACCTGCAGACATATTTTGGTGCTCTCCATTTCGTAGCCTATCAATTAACTTTTTTCCTCCAAGCGTAGTGGAAAAATATATAAATACAACATCATTGTCAAGGTGGAGATACCTAGATTGAAACAGCATGGTAGGATTTTGGATCCACGTGTAGATGGCCTCACACATCCTGGTAGATACTGTACAGAATCTGCACTTTCCTTACTTCTCTCCAAAACTCTGACAGATATAGTTGCAATTATAATGCAAACATGACTGAAAATGGCATATCCAGCCAAGTAAAATGGTAACAACAGTGAATTTGGAAGCTTTCAGAGAGCCCCCCACTACAAGAAGACAACAGAGAGAGGGCCCGGGAGACTACAGTTCTTCAGCAAGTCAAAGAAATTCATAAAGAGGACTAGCAACAGGGGAAAACATATGTGGATGAAATAGAATAAATAATAACTGTTTCAAATAAGAGTATGGGATTACATAATTTCTTTTCAGAAGAAAAGCAAAATTATTTTTAAATTAGCAGAGGGAAATATAAGCCCTTAATTCAGAAATCGGGTTGCTACTAACCTCATGAATAGATACTCAGTCGTTATCTTTTACTCAAGATTCCAATTTGTCACTTGCATATAATCAGGAGCCTCAGTCATATACAGAGTTTCTGAAACCTAAAGTTAACAGAGGAATGCACTGTGTTATGATCCCCACACTGAAAACCTGATAATGCCACAAACCCCAGGTTATTTCCCCCAAACCTCACACAGGAATGGATGCTAATAATAGCAAGTTGGAGTATATATATAACAGTTTCCATTGTATGAGAAAGATAGAAGGACATTTATTCACATAGGCCTTTGTTGACATCACAAGTCCAGTAAGGGAATCAAAGGTGTGGGGTTAGTTTTCTATTTAACAGTACAAGTCAGTATCTGGTGAGCCTTGGTTCTTGTCTCTGGCGCTACCTCACTTTCTGCAACTCCTGTCTCAGCCAGGAAGGCAGAGGCTGCCCCAGCCGGTGCAGCAGCTTGGACAGTTCCACATTGTGGTCTCGGTAGTAATTAGAGAGGAAGGTTCTAGACTGAAAAAGAAAAAGAAAAAAGAGGACTTAAAGAGATCTGTTAGCTCATTAAACATCATTGTGCGATCTATGTTTCATTTTTAAAAATTTTTAAAAAAGATTTATTTATTTATGCATAGAAGTACTGGGGTATAGGCCAGAGGTGTTTGGGGGGCAGGTGAGAGGATTCACCAGAGACAGAGTGGGGAACAGAACAGGCGAATTCACTGAAATACACTGCTGAGGGGAACAGTGGGGAACCAGGAGAGGTCTGCTGCACCATGTGGGTAGCTCCCTGGCTGGGGATCGAACTCATGCTGCAGTGGCTGCAGATAGCTTCATAGGTTGTGTCTTAACCCCTTGCACCACCAGGGAGACCCAATCTATGTTTCTTAAGGCATATTATTACAATATAGATGTCTATACAATACTTATGTCTTTGTATTTTCCCTTAGATAGCACTCATTTTTACTTTTTGAAAAAGATTTGGTGCAAGTATAGTAGCAAATAAAAATGAGTACAAGTATATATTATGTGACTTATCTAACTTTAAAATATAAACACAAATAAAATATAAACACAAAATATAAATGCAAATAAAATAAACACAAATATAAACACAAATAAAATATAAACACAAATAAAATACAAACACAGATATAAACACAAATAAAAGCTGAAATTAATGGTCTAAATAATTTTTTAAAATCATAAACAGCTTTCTACTTCAAAAATATAAGGTTTCATTCCAAAGATCATTACAATGATCTCTGGTTTGTATTTCTTACATTCCTACACAAACTGGAGAGGTTAGTTCTTAATAGAGAAACACTTTTAGAAAAAAAAATATTATCAACTATATTGACAGTCTTAGTTATGTTTTTTTCCTGGAAAACAAATTAATTTTTTTTCTGTGAATATCACTTAGTTTATATTAGACACCAATGAACATAGCTCTGTATTTATTTATTATTTATTATTTATAAAATAATAGGGGTAAATACTTATTCCCTTGTAAATGTGGGTAGTAGTGACCAACCTTTCTTGTCCACCTGCTCAACATCCCTTCATCTCTCTTAAGCCCTTTCCAATATTTTAGTATACGTGAGTCTTTCTTCATAAAACTCCCTTAGCAACTTTTGTGTATACTGTGGAAATGGACTTAAGACAACTGCATTTCATCTTGTACCATTCACCAGGTATTTCATTACATTTCTTCCCTGAAACCAGATTGTAAATACTTCAAATCCTGGATAAGATGTTTGTAGAAGGAGGTGGGAACATTACATTGATTTCTTGGCAGACTCAAGTGAAATCCTTTTGGAATTATTGAGTTCAAAGGTATAATTTGAGGACCTTCTGGTGCTTCTATTTCCATAGTAACCACTGAATTACTTTCTTCTTCCTTTGGCCAACTTTTCTTAGGAGAGATAATCATCCTTTCTGTCTTAGCTGATTACTAACTGGCTTCCCAATCTTCATCTACAGAAGATATTTCCCCTCATAGTATCACTTCTACTGAGATACTTCCCCTGCCTTTTTGTTGTTTATTTATATTATGATAAATCAATGACCACAATCAGTTTACCATCATAGAATAAATCTAGGTTCATAATTGTTGCATCTTTGTAGCCACTCCATGATACTGTAATTTATAATAAAAATAGGTATTTGTTTTCATCTTCATTTCTGGGGCACACCTCTAAAACACATGGTATTTCCTAAGGGAGAGAACACTAAAGGTGTCTTTTGCTATATTAATAAGGTGGCTTTTGGGCATCGCCTAGAGAAGGGGGCCAGTTGCCAGGAGAAGCAAACTTGTGATAAGAGAGTGGTACTGAATTTTTTAGTCCTTGACCTCTGAGGAGGAAGGAGGCTGAATCAATTGCATTGACCAACGACACAATTAACCATATGAGTGTAAACTCCAGAAATACCCAAAAAGGGGTTTTGTGAGCTTTCAATTGTGAACATATGGGGCGCTAGGGGAGGGTCTGATAGTGTTACCTGCTTCCCCCACGTCACCCTGGCATCTCTTCTGTCTAACTGTTCCTTTTATACTAAACCAGGAATGTAGGAAAGTGAAAGGCTTCTCTGATCTGTGAACTACTTTAGAAAAGTAATTGAACCCAAGAGGGGTTGTTAGAACCTCCAGGCTACATTCTGTAAGGCAGTAGCACAGGTGATAAAAGGGTCTTGTAACTAGGGTCTGAAGTGGAGAAGACGAAACTCTTATTTCACTAAGCCCTGAACCTGAAGGATCTCATTCTATCTAAGGGCAGATAATGTCATATTTAAGTTGAATTGTAGGACACCAGATGTGGAGACACCAGCTGGTGTCTGAGCATGCTTGGTGGTGTGGAGAGACCTCCCTGGCATGCGTTATAATCGGTGATCAGAAGGCTTTACCCTCCATTGCTTAGCTAAGTGATGCTTACAGGCCTTGGATACACAGTTAATAGCTAAAAATGCTTTATTTTATCCAAAAGTCAAATGTTTAGAAGACAGTTAAGGTGTACATTTGGGAAGGAGTTTCTATTGGTAAGTTTTTATGTCTGAATGGCTTCCCAATGCTCATAATTTCTACAAACATCTATAAAACATGTGTCTTTGCCTATTTTCTAAATATATACAACTGTTGATAGCCAATAAAGAAAAGCAGAAAAGGAAGCACATTTATTGTCATTAGTTGTGAATGAGTGATATGCATAGAGATTTATCTGGATTTCTGAAAGATTAGGAAAATTTTACCTCTGGATCCATGGGTGGATATTTTCGGCCCTTGCTTTTTCCAAGGCATTTGGTCTTTCCTCCTTCCAGCAGCTGACACCAAAAACCCTTTTGGGGATCAAACCTACAAAAGAGCAAACATGTAAATGGTTATAAAAATAATAGTTATAAACTGTATGCAGAATTTTTATTTTCTAAAAATATTTTATTTATTTTTTGTGTGGAAGAACTGGGGTGTGTGGAAGCCCAGAGGTGTGGGGCGTGAGAAGATTCACCAGGTACAGAGTGGGGAGCAGAACAGGTGGATCTACTGAAATTCACTGCTGAGGGGAGCAGCCGGTGAGACAGGAAAGAGGTTTGCTGTGCTCTGTGGGTCAGCTCCCTGGCCGGGGATTGAACTCAGGCTATAGTGTTGACAGTGCTGAGACTTAACCCCTAACCCCTTAACCCCTTAACAGAATTTTTAGTGAGTCTCAGCAGTAGTATAAAGGAAATGCACTTTTTTGTCCCATTGTTTCAATTTAACTAGTTTAAATGTTTTTGAAATGACTTGAATCTAGTTAGGAGTAAGTAAATGATATGGCATCTATTTTTGAATATTTCAATTGTAATAAAAAAGATATATAGGACCTCCATCTAATTTAATGTTGAAATATGAAGTTTCATACTTCACCTATTTATCCATAAAAGATCAAAGGCCAATCACTGAAACTACTACCCATTTATATAGGATATTTAGAATATTTATTTACATATTAATATGACTTTTTTGTAAAAATATATTAATATATTAATAGTGAGTAGAAGATATGATTTATTTATTTAAAAGATTTATTTTTTTATACAAGGGTTGGGGTACAGGCCAGAGGCGTGGGAGGGCGAGAGAATCCACCAGCGACAGAATGGGGAACAGAACAGGCAGACTGACCAAGTACATTGCTGAGGGGAGCAGCGGGCGAGGCAGGAGAGGTCTGCCGCATCATGTGGGAATCTGCCAGGCCGGGCAGGAATTGAACCCGCACCATGGAGGCTGTGGACAGCTTCATAGCGCTGCACTCAACCCGCTGCGCCAGTGGGGAAACCCTGATACCTTCATTTTTTTTAAATTGAAGGCAGAAAAACCCAATTGGACAATTCAGGTCCCTATATTTTTAAGGAAAACACTAATCTTATTTTACTTCCAAGGGTGCACAAAGTTAAAAAGAAAGGAAGTGGGGCCTAATCATTTTTTTTTTTTAACTAAGAAATATAAGATATATAAGAGTTTTTGTTTAGTACTAGAAAGACAGGAAAAATGGAAGAAAGATCCAAATAGGGAAGGAAATTTTAAATTTATTGCAATGGGACTGACTGCATGCATAAAACATCGGAAAGGTTTGCATTTTTGTTGCTCAGCAGATGTTTTAGAGGAATGAAGCATAATTGACTGGGATGTAAAGTTAATTAGTTGCAGAATATTTTGTTGCCCTGGGCCCATTCCTATAATACTGGTGCACCTGCAATTTGCCTCTGCACATATGTGAACTCATTTAAGGGGAGAGGGCAATTTTCTTCACAGTTCCCTGCCCAACCTATTATTAGAGACCTGATCCTTGCCGTCCAGGTTGTCCTAGTACATGTTATCAATTAAAATTAAATACATCACTGGTTAAATGGATAAAAGGAAGACAGAACCATTTCCAACCTGGACTTTTCAATCTGCTCCTTGCCTATCACAGTCTCCTTTCTCGAGTTTTCATTAATTTCCCAAGAGGAAAAACAATTCAGCAGGCTGTTTGGAATGAGATGGGGAAGTCGGCATGACGGTGCCCCTAAACAGCATTTTCTGCCTCACGATGAACATATTTAACTGAATTAAGGTAAAATACAGCTCTGGCAACAAAGCCTAGATATTTATCCACACGCTGTGAGCATCGCCTGTGCTCTCAGGTGGGCAGAGCCTGGGGATGCCTGTTCTGCATGGCAGCTGTTTGGAGCAGACTCAGTGCAGCCCGAGGAGGAAGCACCATCTAGAACACAGGGCCCTGTTTCAGGTGGGTCTGGCACCACCTTGAACCCACATTTTCTTGTTGTCCTGGTTTCACTTATTGTGAGGCGGCTTTATGTACCCTGAGCTTAACAAAGGACATTTATTCTTCCTTAGTTCTATCAATTCTTTGTTTTACGTTTTTATTTTAGTAGGCATGAAATTGTGAAATTAAGATGTAAAGTCTTTCTCAAATGACTGTGGGAAGACTTTTAGGACATGAGCTGCTAGCCATATAAATTCTTTTATTACGCTGAACATCACTGGAGATATTAATTTGTGTGATGTGAGACAAGAGCAACCATATATTTTGTACTTGTTTGCAATCTCTTCTTTAAAAGTATGATTTTACAGGTTTATTGAACCATAAGCAACTATTTGTAGTAAACAGGATAAAACCATTCCCTAAACTACCATAGACAGGCAGGGGAAGACACGCCAACATCAATAACTGTTAATGTAAAACCTATTATAGGAAACTTTGTCTACTTAGCCAACCAGGGCAGGTCTTGCTTCTTATTTCCACGTGTAGGTAAAATCTTTAGTAGGGCTGTGTTAGTGGATAAGGAACAACCCAATCTTGTTACTGTTTTTGCTGTCCCGCCATCACCCCCTCTAATTGCCTAATTGCTGATTCTAATAGGCTGTGAACTGGGAAATTATATAATCAGTCTTGTTAGAATTTTGTCTAAAATTTAATAGGTTCTATCTCAGGGTTGGTGGGGAGTCAAGCAGATGCACTTTTAAAACATGTCTTGGCTGCTTGGAGCTTTTGTCTTTGTTTGCTATTGGGCTTCTTTATTTTTTCCCATTTTTAATTGCCCAAGTGTTTGGTTTCTTCCCCTGAGATGGATGTTGCAGTGGCTCCTCGCCCACACTCTCTTCTGCAGAATGAACTCTCGCTCCCCATCAAGATGGGGAGACTCATGTCCTCTTCGTTGGATTTGGACTGGCTTAGTGGCTGGGTTGTAATTTGTAACATGTGCCACAGTGACACAGTGACTTCCAAGGACAGGTCAGAAGGGCCAGGGTCTCTGGGGCCACATGATCCCTCTACATATCACTCCTCTCACAACACTGCCACTACAGGGTAGGAAAGCCAAGTCATCTCACTGAACTAGTCTTTGAGCCATCCCAGTCCGAGGAAACTTGGGAAGAATCCAGTCCTCAGCTTTTTTGGGCATCCAGATAGTCTAATCTCACCAGCCATGACTGGCTATCAGGAGCAGAGAGAAGCTGTCCTGGCTGTATCCTGTATGATTTCCTGGCCCTTAGAACCAATGGGCATAACAAAGTGGCTGTGTTTGCGTGCTAGTTGATTTTGGGGTGGTCTGTCATGCAACAATAGATAAATGTCAATTTATGCATGATTATACTTGGTTAATCATAATTTGCAATGCAGAGTGAAATACAAATAATCCCTCCACCAATGCTACCCCAATATTGCTCACTTTTCCACAGCTAACAAAAGCCATCGGCATTTCATTTTTAACCAGTAAATTACTTGGAGGAAGCATCCATATCTTTTTCATTTTGTAACCTCATTCTTAGGATGCTTACTGCACAGAGTATGCTTGTAAAAAGTTTAGTTAACCAAAATTATATTGGGGAAAAGCCCACTTGATGATATATAAAATGACCATAATATTTTATAAGGTAAAATATTTGTGGTATTCAAAAGGGAAATACTAAATGAATAATGACAATATTCCTTTTACTGCTTTTGAGTAGCATAATGATGTACAAATTCATGGCTAGTATTAATAATACTACATACACACCGTCCGGTAATAATTTATGATGGCAAAGAATGAAATGAAATCAAGCATGAGAATAGACTCACGTTAGCGCTTCAGAGTAATTATAATGAGGTGTAACTCCCAAAAACTTCTGGACTTCATCCATCACAGTGGCTGGATCAGATCTCAGTTGCTGTCCATCAATAATTAGCAACTGCAAAGTCAAAATATAGTAACTTTATGAAGAACAAAACTAATGAAATAGATGGAGCTATGTGATATGAATAAATAGGTCAATGTGAATAGGAAGGAAATAGTGCATTACTTAAAATATATTTTAATGTTTAATATTCTTGTGTCCTTCCAAGTAAACAGCAGCAAAATCTTGCCATGCACATCACTTCTTGTGAGTTACGGAGTTAGAACCCTTACTTGACTTGACCACAATTAGAAATAAACATAGACACTCTCTTGATTTAATCGTTCAATAGAAACATATTTTTCATCATAGTGCAATTAGGCAATCAGCCAACCTACAAAGTTTGAGGAGCAAACTTGGGACCCAAAGACTTAGAAATATTGGTCATGCAATTGAAAGTGACCCAAATATTCCCCTAACAAAGTGTGATTGAGAACTTAGGCTGTAGTTGTGACCTGGCTTGAAAAGATGGAGGGTAGAGAAGATCCACTTTATATTTATTTCTTGTTTTAGCCCATGTTCCTGGAGCTGTTACAGCCCTTCACATTTTAATGGGCCACGTGGGACCTCCTTTCCTTATAGGAGTCCCACAGGATGGATGACACATGGTATCCGTATCTGCATGTGGCCTTCCATGCAAGTACTGTCTAACTTGCTACATGATAGTAGTTAAGAACTGCTGCCTGTGAATCCCATGATATCTCCTTGTGAGGTTTATCCACTCTGAGACCAGGCCCTTCGAGACCCGGCACTATCTAAAAGAAGACTCCACGCTGTGTTTCACAGCCATTTAACTGGATGGATTCATTTATAGGAGGAATACAGAAGATCCAAATAAGGGATCAGGGGCAAAAATGTTATTATAATAGAGTAAAAATCAAAATCAACAAGCAACTGTAAACCAGAGACATTCTACAGGGGGTCGGGGGTGGGGAGAGAAGGGAGTAAGATCAAAACAGGGGTGGGAAGAGCACAAGGGACTATGGTGATGGTTCATGGGTGAACTGGCAGTGGTAATTTCACGGGGACTGTAACCGAGATGAGAAAGCATACATTGCACAAAAATGAAGTACTATGTACAAAATACATAAAAGAAAAAAAGAACATGTTAATAAGATTATTGAGATTAAAAATATAAAAAAGTCCTATTTTTTCTTATGTATGATCATCTCTGATTATAAATTGCTTTGTGTGGACATGTTAATTTGTATTTGCTGTTGGTCAGTGTTACACAATCACGATAGTAGAGCACTAAACAGAAGAAATTGATCTCATGACATTACCTGAGAAGTAGCATAGTAAGTTAGCCATCTTTCTATGTGGACAGCATACCACCCAGGGATGAGGCATCTCCTCTGCAAAGTTTTTAGGTCTGATGGGGCCCAATGTCCTGTTGTAATGACTTCATAGAAATTAAATCTCAGGGCGGCTGGATCTTCATGTGACCGTTGATGCTGGAACAAAAAAGTCAATTGTAAAATTAATTTCCTTCATACCTGGACAGGTATATGTACATGTGTGTGTTTTTGACTTATGCATATGATATATACACACCTTATACTTCATAATAGTAATAAGAGACCATTAATTGATTTTAGAATTCAAAATAAGGTGGGGATACATATAAGGAAACCTGGGCTCAGGCACAATGCCTATTTTAAAAATTTTAAAGTATGAGTCTTCCATAATTATTGAGGGTATGCAAATAAGCCCTTGGCTGTCTTCATTTTCATACATTTAGGCGCAAGGCAAGAGACAGAGTGGGAGGCTTTTCTTTATGGGTCTGATTAGATGTGAAAAGATGTCAGGGACCAGGCAAATCAAACTGGATGAGAAAAGATTTAGAATGGCAAGAATAGGCACCCACATGACTCTGCTCCTTGTTTCATTACAGTCGCTCTTGAGGATTCTGACACTTCCCAGCCTCCCAGTGTGGCAGGTACTGTGGGTGCAGGGAAAGCAGAGGTCCACCCCAATGCTGTTAAGGTGCCCCACTCATATTGACAGTATCCAAGTTTCTGTCTTTATGCTTTCTGAAGGTTTTTATTCTGCCTAACCCTGTTAATTTTCCAATATGGATTGACTGCTATTTTTTTTAAGATTTATTCATTTATGCATACAAGAGCTGGGGTACAGGCCAGAGGTATGGGGGGTGAGAGGATTCACCAGAGACAGAGTGGGGAACAGAACAGGCAGATTGACCGAAGTACAGTGCCGAGGAGAGCAGCAGGCGAGACAGGAGAGGTCTGCTGTGCTATGTGGGTTGCTCCCTGGCTGGCCAGGTGTTGAACTCGTGGCTGCGGATTGCTTCATAGGTTGCGTCTTAACCCAGGGAGGCCCTTGACTGCTATTTTTTAGCAACTAGTCCTCAGTTCTTAACTCCAAACTGTCCTTGGTCAAGCAGAAGAGACCAGCACAATGAGAGATGAATTTCACGGTCAATACAATTTCATGAGCAGTCATTAAATTCATTGCCAGAACAAAAAAATGTACCAGATTCTAGAGATAAGTGGATATGAGTAAGCCATAATGACTAACATCAAGGAAATCAAAATCTTGAGTGGGAGACAATAGATGAACAGATTATAATAATTGTGATGGATTTTGTTCTAATATTTTGATATTTTTACATTTCAATAGTCAACATATTATGTTTTGGTATATCATAGAAGATGAAGATCTTAGATATTCTTTTCTGCAGGACAGAAATCTTTATTAAATAAATCATTCTGCACCTGTTGAGGGCCTATCATTATCGTATGTTTATTGATATTCTTCTAAGTATATGCACTTGCTGAGTACATAGTGGCTACATAATGCATTTAATGAATATAATGTGTAGTGACTGCATAGCTTGAATAATAAAATATAAACACACTGTGTGCATATTAATACAGTAATGCTAAAATTTCTCCTTTAAGCAGTAGAAGATGAAATTGTACTTCATCTACTCTATATTGACTTTTTTAGCACCAACATTTCTTCTATTCCTGCAACTGGGAAGATTAGCATAAAATATGACAAAGAAGTCACAATGGAACATATTTTGTGGGAAAAAAAATAGCACTATACCTCCTCTGTGAGGCCCATTATAAAAATGTGTGGTAGAAATTGCCATGACAGGTGACATTTGTAGAAGTTTCTGAATTATACCTGCTGAGCTTTGGATTTATGGTATTTACCAAATAGACAGGAGTAGCTAAGTAAGAGACTGCATTATTTTGAAGTGTGGAGCAGTTTGGGGAACCTAGGCTTAGCGATATGGCAATAAAAAGTATTATCAGGAAAATAATTTCTTTCAAATGTTAATGCTCAAATAATTTAGTGGAAGAAGCAGACATAGGTTCTCTTTTATTTAAATGGTGTAATCTATATGGAAAAAAAATGATTCATATGAAACTATTCTAAGTAGTGACCATGCTTTGTGCTAGAAAATTAGGAAACATTTGCCCCAAATATTTGCACTAATTTTTTTAACTAATACTTAATATCTCAATGTTTTTGGAACAATTATAAATTTTCACTAACAGAGAAAGACACCTTTTTTCAGTATCTTGGGGGAGACACTCCCTCATTTTAATGGTAATTTGTGAATATTGTTCCCAATTCAAGTGCTCCACCAGTAATCCTAACTTGGTTTTGGTAATATGTTTATTGGAGGCATTTTGAAAAGATCAAAAAGAAAAAAGAAAAAATAAACATCGTGTTACTATGTATACTTCTAAAGTATTTTCTTTTAGTCTTTATTTTGTCACTAATTTCTATATGTAGTAAACACATACAAACAGAGATACACTCATATTTCTTGGATTTTGGTACAAATATATTGTTGCCACCTTCAATTCAAGAACTTCACTTAGGCTTCATCTGTGCAGCTAATTTTATATTTCTTTGGTCAACTTTATTTCACTTTGTATGATGATTTCACACTCCTTTTTTTTCTCTTCAACCTACTGCCTCCTATATTATCCTATTTATTTTTTTAATCAGAGGAACTCATTCCTAACTTCTCTAAGGAGACAGAAGCCATCACAATGATTTCAATTTCACCCTCTCTTTTATACTTCACGTTTCAATACAAGGGTTCTTCTTTAAAAAAATATTTTTATTTATTTATGCATACAATAACTGGGGTATAAGCCAGATGTGCGGGGAGTGAGAGGATTCAGCAGAGACAGAGTGGGGAGCAGAATAAGCGAATCTACTGAAATACACTGCTGAGGGGAGCAGTGGGCAAGACAGGTGAAGTGGGCCTCCCCTGGTGGTGCAGGTGGTTGAGTGCAGCGCTGTGAGACTGTTGCAGCCTGTGCAGCATGGGTTCAATCATGGCTGGCCGGGGAGCTACCCACATGGCACAGCAGACCTCTCCTGTCTTGCCTGCTGCTCCCCTCAGCAGTGCATTTCGTCAGTCTGCCTGTTCTGTTCCCTGCTCTGTCTCTGGTGAATCCTCTCACCCTCCCACACATCTGGCCTGTACCCTGGTTCTTGCATGCGTGAAAAAATATTTTTTTTTAATAAAAAAACCCATACTTTTTTAAAATTAATTTTTTTACATCATTGTCAATTTTTAAACAATATTTGCATCCCCACCCCCTCAGATACAGTCCCCATAGAGTTTCCTTCCCCAAGGTACCCGTGCACCATCACCTCAGTCCCCTGTGCTCCTCCCTCCCTCCCTCTGATCCCTCTCCCTCCACCTCCCTTACAGGATGTATCTGAGTTACAATTGTCTGTTTTTGCTTTGTTGTGTTTTGTACTGTTATTATTTTTTTACACTGATGTCTTATTTGGTTCCCCTATATTCCTGCTATAAGTGAAACCACTACATACAAAAAATGAAACTAGACCACTACCTCTCATCATACACAAAAATCAACTCAAAATGCATAAAAGACCTGGATGTAAGATGTGAAACCATAAATATATAGAAGAAAATATAGGTAAAACACTACAAAGCATACATCTCAGAAACATCTTTAAAGACCCATCACCCAAAGCAAAGAAAGTCAAGGAAAAGATAAACCCCTGGGATTACATCAAACTTAAAAGCTTCTGTACAGCAAAAGAGATATTAACCAAAACAGAGAGACACCCCACTGACTGGGAAAAAATCTTTGCACTCCATTCAAATGATAAGGGACTGATCAAAAAGATATACCTTGAAAAAAAAAAAAAAAAAAAGACAGGTGAGGTCTGAGGCCTTATATGGGTTAGCTCCTGGTGGTAGGGATGACAGGTGCTGAAACTTAACCCTAGGCCACCAGGGAGGTCCACAATGCATATGTTTTTAGCCAGAGGCCACTGATAGAATTCAGGTTTATGCACCTGGATCATCAAAACCAGGTCTCTCTTTTTTAAGTAACTTCTAAATGAGTTTTATCATTTATTGTACCTGTCATTTTGCCTTCCAAGAGTGCCAGCTAACTCTGTGCTTCCTCTTGGTATCACCTGGATCAAGTCAATCTGTTTAGTTGATTCTAAATAGATTTTTTTTTTGGTATTATTTTTGCTTGAAATCCCTTAAACAACTTGCAGTGCATTAAAAATTTAGCTTGTTTCTTTTTTTCCTGGTTTACTCTTTTGACTCTTTCTTGATATTTGGCTGTTCAATATATCTGGACTTTAGTTAGGTAATTCACCATTTTTTACATTCAAGCTGTAACCAAATGTTTTTAATGGTATTTTTCATGGCTTCATACCTGGTACCAAGAATATGCTCTGTCTGAGGGGTCGATGAGGATGGTGATGATCTTGGCTTTGGGGACTAAGGATGCAGCTCGCTTGGGAGCTTCTTCTGAGTGGAAGTAATTAGCACTCTTTTCAAATAAAAAGTCACTTGTAATGTTGGATGGAGTGGGGAAAAAGTCCATATACCTAGAAACAGAAACATAATTCAGCACACTGAAATCTAAATATTGCCTGTCATTTTTTTGGATATGAAATAATGTGAACATTTTTCTATTTACTTAGACTACTTATATCTATTTACTTATAATTTCTAATTATTGGTGTTATAATAGTTAAAGCAATGGCTATTCTGTAGGCTTTGAATGTGAAAATAACTCAAAATGTTATTTTTTCTAATGAACTATTTAGAGCAGGGGGAAGTGAGATAAAATGGGTGGGTTGATAAAGAACAGAAAGAAAGTCCTTTCGATGTGGGCTGATGTTCTGTGTTATCAAAAGTAAAATCTGGAAAAATTAAATTTACCCTTGGCAAGCACTGAATTGTACCACATTGCCTAGTAAATAATTTAAAATAGTAAATTTATGTTTGCAAACTTGAATGCAAAATTCTGAAATTGAGATTCAAGTACACAAGAGAGGAAAATGTCTAAGTCAGTACAGCTATAAAATACCAGCTAGGTTAGGGCATAGCTCTTGTCCTTTTTAAGTTCTGCACAATTTGTAGTACGTGTGGCTGTGTGAAAGCATTATAGTCTATCTAGAGTAATTAAGGGAATATTTCCTGCCAGTTGATCCTGTGGTGCCTATGTAGGTTCACCCTTCCATATGCTATGGGAACAGTCCTCTGTGTGCAGATTATGAAATCAATATGTTCGGAGGTTAATTCAGTGCAAGGCTTTAATTATGCGTGTAACCTCCTTGCAACTCATCACTTCTCTAACCCTCAATGTTCTAGAAATAAATAATGAGAGCAATTAAGAATTCATAGAAGACACTTATTTCCCTCTTTGACATTTGTTATTATGTTTCTCAAATGTGAAGTGGTGAAAACGCTCATCTCTATTCCTCCTTAACAATTTGTGCTCCATTTGCATTCACAGATAAGAGAAAACAGCTGCTCTGCTTTTCTTAAATTTCACACAGTTCCAAAATTCATTTAGTCTTTGAAAGAAGGTAGAATATGTGCAAAGTGGACATGTCTGTACTCAGAACGAGAAGTTAGATCTGCTAACTAGTGTTGCCCCTGCTCCACTTTAATCCTAGCAACATCTAAAAAGAATGGGTCTCTCACTGAGGACAATTCATGTGTGATGTTGACACAGAGAGACTTGCTACAGAGCTATGCATGAGAATTTTCCTCAGGGAAGATTTGCCTTATATACCTGGGAAGTGTAAATAAAGACCATATTTTCTTAGAAAATTGGGATAGAGCTAGGAAAAAAAGCACCAGAATGAAGATCTGTTCCCATACCAAATTCATTCCATTTCAGTTTAGGAAAAACATGACTTTAAAATTTTCCCTAATTTATCAAATGCAAATCCATATTCCTTTTTATGCATGTGTGTGACTGGAATTAGTATGACTTTAGGAATGCTCTGTTATTATTTGCATGACTAATATCAGCCTACATTATAATAGAACATATGCAGATTATGTGGTTAATGAAGTTATATGTCACAGAGTATAATATAAAACAACCTGATTTATTATTTGTTTCTTTAAGTGTCATTGTAAAGACAAATTATGTATTTTGTTAGACAAATTCTAAACACAGTAAAGTAATAATATGCTTAAGGAGAATTTTATATATATCCTTATGAATAAGTCTTAAAAATAATCCATAATCCTCTTTATTCAATCACAGTAATTTACCAGAATAATATTATCATTATTGCACTGTCCAAATCAAATTATAGGCAACACTGATTAAACGTATCATCATTATAAATTAATTTCAAATTCACTGTGGTAGAATTGAGCATAACAAATTTATTCTGTAATTATGTAGATGCCATGCATACATCTATAATTGCTCTGCAGTGATTGAGCATGTGTTAATAATGGGTTTTATTTTTGTTATTTTTCTTACCAGTCAATTCCTTTGTGATAGTTGTTGCCATTAAAGAATTGAACTTCTTCAAATGTTTTTGGGCTGGGGAGATTGCTGATGATGGAAGGGTGCATAAGAAGAAATAAATATAGTGCAGTTGTTCCTATTGCCAGGAAAGAAAGTAAAATGTCATATGACAGTAAAAGAAGACACAAAAGTTATTACAGCATACTTTTTGCTCAATAAATAAATACTCGAAAGACCAATTTTTTGCAGTGTCAAGACGAGTTCCTTGAAATCTACTAGGTGCATTTCATGTGGCAATAATTTGTGTTCTTTCATTGCAATTTGTGATTTTACTTCTCTAAAGACCTGATTTAATATTTGTATGTTGCCAAAGTAAATGATACTGATAACACAGTCAGGGACAGCTTCAGAATCAGGTGGTTCAATTTCCTTTCTGGAGTCAGTGAGTGAATAAAGCCTCAAGGACATCCTGCACAATACAGGGAGCTGATGTGCCCTCAGTTCACATTTGAATTCAGATCAATTAAATTAAATCAAACTGTGGAACAGATGTTGACAGGTGTTACTCTGTGCATGGGCCTGTAGTAAGAATTGGTGATGACTCTTGATAAGGAAAGCAAATTTCCTGCCCTCAATAACTTAACATCTACATATCTACTGGGGTCAAGTAAACAGTTCATTGCAACATAACGAGACAGGCTCCTAATAAGAAAAGACTAGAATGCTTTGCCAATACTTGAGAAAATGAGTGATTTAAACCTGGGGAGTCAGTGAAGACTTCAGGAGAAAGTATATTCTGAAGTTCTACTCTAAAAGCACAAATTCCTCAGCAAAGTTGAAAGTTGAAGGTAGGATTCTAGGAAGATGGACACTGGCATGTCCTGCCCAGGCAAGGTACAGAAATAAAGTTTGGTAATGAGATACTGGATGTGCAGAATAGTTGACAGAACCCACAGAGTGGGTTCAAGTTTACTGTGATGGATACTTGGATGATGATGAAGTGGCTTAAAGACAACTTTTTATTTAAGAGCCCATTCTAGGGAATGTATAGCCTCTGACAGGAGTGGGAGTTGTATCAACTGAAGCAATAAGAACAAAAGACAACTATGGATATTTGATTGGGTCTTAAGAATTAAAACCATTTCACACTGGAATAGCATCTTTAGAGAATATGAATATTATCATTTAATTTCTCTGTTTCAACTTGTGTTAGAAAAGTCAAAACGAGGTGAAAGCTTTATCATCACCACATTGGTAGATTAGATATTAAAACCTAAATGTATAAGTTATTGTCTTTATAAATACAAACAGCAAGGAGAGAAAGTTGCATTTACTAACCTGCAATTTTCTAGCATAGCTAAAAGTGATAATACTCAATGACAGTGACAGTGATGTCTTCACATTTTTAACAGAATTTTACAATATAGGAATGCTTTATTTCACTAGAAAGTCATTTCAGAGGTAGCACTGCTAGATGGGTGTTGGCTGAAAATTAATGCACATTTTAAACAAAAACAACAACAAAACCAAAAATGATATATCGGAAAATACACGGTGCCCTTTTTCCTTCTCTGCACACATGTGACTTACCGTTGTAGTGCAATTTATATTCCTGGAGAAACAAAAGATTCCACAACCAATATCTAATAGTCTAGAAATTTTGCCCACAACCTTTAAAATGATCTACTTGCTTGTATTACAAATATCTTCATCGGGACCGGGTTTATTTATTGGGGCTGTTTGTTTTGTGTTATGGTTTGTGTACTCACTGATGAAAATGCTTCTAGTCAAAGTAGTGAATTCAAAATACAGCAACTCAATAAAAACTTTAATTAATGAGGACATGAACAATGTGTGTAAAACTGTCACATACTGAAGAAAGTATAAAATATTCTAATTGAAAGTGTCATCTCATTGGTGAAATACTTTCATTCTCTTTTACTACATTGTTATACACTTGTCCTTCAGTATATGAGAGAATAGCAAGGGAAAATTGCCTGATGAATCTCAGATGTATCAGAAAATAAGCCCAAACCATATTTATATCTAATGATCATCTATAAAAAAAACAGACCTCCCATGTAGAATTTTTGAAAATAATGACAGTGGCTCTAAAAAAAAAAAAAAAAAAACCAGGAAGAATTTAAGCCTGACAAGTACTGTAAACTAGATTGTATGAAGCCAAAGAGGAATTTTTTATAACTTAATTCAGGCATTAATTAGGCAGAGCCTCAACAAGTAGAAATTGAAAATCCGTTACCACAATTGTGACATATAATCTCAGTTGTCTAAAATTTGATAGCTGTTGAGTAGTTAAAAAATCTGTACTTAAAAATTTAGTCCTTATGTCTAATTAATAGGCAGAAGCAGGGTCCCCTTGGAGGATCAAGGCATAAAGGTGATTCATAGTAATGAAGAGAAATTCAGGTTATGAACTTGCACTGCACCTAAATTTCAGGACATAAAATCTACTCTGATAAGACCATAAGACAATGCAAGCTTCATAGTTGGCTTGTCTTACCTGTTTTTTGTGGCCCGATTACTAGGAATTTTGGTAAGTGGTCACAAGTTTTCTCCCTGGACCAAATATCTTTGTGTCTTTTATCATCACATGGATTCTGTGAGAAGGAAGAAAAAAAGAATTTTACTGTGTAATGAATCCCTAATCTAATCTGTAAAATGGTTGACACGAGCAGACCAAATTTTTATCTGATTCTGTAGTGCTAGGAGTTAGAGCCTGCTCTGGTTTTTTTGATTTCCAAATTGCTTCCTTATGAAATAGTGAACACCTTCCATCCCTTCAAAGCTGGAGGTCAGTCCGTCACCTTCTCTGTTGCTGGGCCAGGTTCTTGCTATTGAAAGTCCATTGTTTCTGGGTTTATGCTTGACATCTCTATACGAATTCCTAACTTGGCACAGTTTGGTTGAACAATAGTTGTTTGGATATGGGTGATCTACCCTAATCTTTCCTGTTTTTTGTCTCCCTAGAGGCCAGAATAATATTCTGAATGCCAGTCTAGCCTAGCTTTGCCTTTCCTTTCCACAGTAGGGGCTGCTTTCTATTAACTCAGCTACTCCCCATAGTTTGGCCAAACCACATAAACTGATAGCATCTGGATCGGTAATTGCAGCCCTATCTCTGCCCTGAGCTCCAGACCTGTATTTTAATTGCATATGTGTCACCATTTTATAGATGTGGTGAGGAATGCCCACCTCAATATTCTCCTTTTCTAATCTCCATTCCATTCCACTTGACTGACCCAAATTTATCATCCAAATCACAACACTGCTGAGAATTAAAATAAATATGCTAAAATTTTGAAATGTTTATTGACTGACAAATGAATTTTATTGTTTGTAATCTAAATAATTCTATTTGAAAACTATTTTCATAAATAATTTCTAAAAAACACATTGGGCATTACATCAATATTTTCATATTATTATACAAATTATAAAAATATATGACATGAATAATAATTTATGGTTCATATTTATGTACTTTAATCTATCTTTTGTCACATATTTCTCTAAGATGTCATTGAAGTTCCCAGGAAGAATGATTGTTTGCAGTGTGATCTTACTATGTATTATTTTTCCATAAAAATTGTCTGTAATCCTCAAAATTACATCATGGTTAATAAATTTGAAAATGTTGATACTTCAGTTGACTCTTCTCTGTAAGCCACTATTTTTTAAATGGGGAAATATTTTCTCTATAGGGCCAAAGTAAGCTCAAACTAAATTCTGTTAAATTTCTGTGAATTTCTCCTTTCTCAATTCGAATGTTTTCCATATTTCAATGTCTAAATATTGAGATGAAATATTTTCAGTTATTTTTCATTCTGATTGTTTTCAACATATATCATTTAAGATAAAGCTTGTCAAATGAGTTATGATTCTTTTAATCATTTTGCCAAAGGTGCTGCAAAATATTAAACTTCTCAATATCATTCCATTCAGTATAGAACACAAATTTATCTAATTAAAAACAGGTGATCCCTCAAGAAACACGACAGTAAACTTCTTAGTCCAATTAAAGAATGTCAAAATTAAACCCTCGATTTCATTTGAAATCTGATTACTTCATCTGTTTCGTCTCCTTTCTTGCTTTGAAGCTTTGTTTTTGTTTTCAAAGATTGCAAAAGGCACCAAGGAGCAAATATCTCAAACTATTTTTTCTCAAAAATAATATTTTAAACATTATTCTCAAAAAATAATATCCAAAGCCAATTCTCCCCAGTGTCATCACATAGACTGAAGGATCCTAGAGCTTCCTGTCAATCCACAAAACTCAACACGGGCCTCTTGTATTGATGGTGAGATGTTACAGACCTAACAGCTAACAAGTGACAGCTATTCTGGTTGCCATGGTGAGACACAGGCCCTCCAGAGGACAGGAGGGAAATCTGCAAAGATTCAGGAGGTGACCACCAGTGGGAGTTTATCAAGGTCTGATGGTCTGGAGCTTACCTGGACATCCTATCCAAAGTAAAGGGTGAGTTACTGCACTTTGCAACTCCTACTGCTGAGAGAGAAGCACAGACTGCCTCAGATCAGGGTGCAAGGACAGGTCTCCTAGCCTCAGGCTGAGGGAGAGACAAATCATCTCATTCACTCTCTGCAGATCAGGTCAAGACCAGGCTTTACCCGAGACCACATGTGTGTGCTCAGCTCTTTCTTCAAATTCTTCTTGTTATACTATTTTCCTTTATAGTTTTCTTCCTGAGCGCATTTCCTCAATGAACCACTTGGGACCAAATCCCTGTCTCACATTCTGCTTTCTAGGAACACAAAGCATGGCAGTGGACATTTTCACTGCCATGTGAAATTAAAAGATACACTTGATCCCAATATATGTTCTATTCTCAGCTTCCTTTGGAACACGAGTGAGTGCAATATAAAAAGATCAGCCATGTATAAAGAAAACTGCATTATTTTGAGAATTTGCCTTGGAAATGGCTAGACTATCTTTGATTTTTCTATGAATTCATCTACAGAAACTGATAAAGGGAGTTAGAAACCAATCAACTAGATAGTCTTATCTACGCTTCATTATAACTGAAATTTTATTTTATTTTTGCTGGTATTACTATTTTCTGCAATCTTTTTATTCAGGATTCAACTCAAATTTTCTGAGTCTAGCTTCAGCTTCGTTCTCTAGCTATAATTTTCATTGTGGCAGCAAAGGCTAGACTATTCTTCCTTCAGTGGCAGACCATGTTCTATTTTGCTTAGAATATGGCATTCAAACTAGAGACTTATTTAAAAGCTACTTTCAACCTAGCTTTCTTCATGTGAATATTTTCATTGTAAATGAAAGTGAGTCAAAGTAATGGCGGCCATAGATATGTTGAGGGACCTGTCAAACTTGGAACCTGGATGACCAGGGTGGGCAAAGCTGGGTAACTCAGACAGTCTGTCCATTTTTAGACAAGTGCATGAATGAGAAATGCATTTCTATTTTATTTCTTCACATATTTTTTGGATGTCATATTACAGTTATATTGCCTGTATTCTCAGTATATTCAAAATTCTTGTGAGAAGGGCCTCCCTGGTGGTGCAAGGGGTTAAGATGCAACCTATGAAGCTATCCGCAGCTACTGCAGCATGAGTTTGATCCCCAACCAGGGAGCTACCTACATGGTGCAACAGACCTCTCCTGACTCACCCGCCGCTCCCTCAGCAGTGTATTTCAGTCATTCCTCCTGTTTTGTTCCCCGCTCTGTCTCTGGTGAATTCTCTCACCCTCTGTACCTTTGGCCTGTACCCCAATTATTTTATGCATAAATAAATAAATCTTTAAAAAAATATTTGTGGGAAGATAAGATCCACAGGCCAGACTGTGAAATTACATGGCTTGCTTCAAGGAGAACACTATGCTTCAAGAAAAAAATGAAGATTCCAGCTGAAGCAACCTGCTTAGCTAGTGACACAATTGGTTTACATGCCAGCACAAACTTCTTTTCTAATGGTGATTCAGCAGCATACAATCCAAGCCTGTTCACGGACACTCTTTAAGTAGCACTGCTCCGCATTAACAATTGCCAACACCAGTGTAATGCTTCAGTTGCACTGTAGTTAGTCACGATCATATCCACACATCACATGTCATATATATTCATGCCTGCAACTGAATAAATCACTTTTGTGTGGAATGCTTTTGTATTTTTCCCAAATTCATAGACAAAAAAATGCCTATTCTAACTTCAGCTAATATCTGCCATCAACTATCCCTATTTGTTTTAGAGGGACAGGGTAGCCCAGTTGTCACTAGTCTGAGTTCAGGGTGGGTATTGTGTCATAAGCGTAGGGCTCAGTTTCTTTATATTGAAAATGACTGGTGATATCTACCTTACGTGGCTCTTGAGAGCACTAATGTGTTAATGTATTCAGATGGTTAAATCATGCTCTATGCAAGGCTTTATACTCTTTATTGCAATACTCATTTCTTTCCCATGCAAATTTCTGCTTGCAAAATTTGATGGAGTAAAAAGTTTATAGAAATAGGCAGATTCAATATAAGATTTGAAAAGAGATTTCTTCAACTGTAACACACACATGATGGGTGAACATGACTTGTTTTGGTTTAACAAAGGCACTAGCTATGGGCCTCCCTGGTGGTGCAGGCAGTTGAGCGCAGTGCTGTGAAGCTCTCTGCAGCCTCTGCGGCATGGGTTTGATTCCCGGCCAGCCAGGGAGATTCCCACATGGTACGGCAGACCTCTCCTGTTGTGCCCGCTGCTCCCCTCAGCAATGTCTTTGGTCCGTCTGCCTGTTCTGCTCCCCACTCTGTCTCTGGTGAATCCTCCTACCCTCCCACACATGTGGCCTGTACCCTGGTTCTTATATGCATGAATAAATAAATATTTTTAAAAAATAAAGACACTAGTTATTTCTACTTTTCCAGGAAGTTATACTGATTAAAGTAAATTATCAAATAAAATGATCAAATAAAATTATCTGGATGGGTCTTCCCTGGTGGCCTAGGGGTTAAGTCTCACTGCTATCACCATTAACCTGAGTCTGAGCCACAGCTAGGGAGCTAACCCACACATGGCACAGCAGACCTCTCCTGTCTCACCCTCTGCTCCCCTCAGCAGTGTATTTCAGAAGATCCACCTATTCTGTTCCCCACTCTGTCTCTGGTGAATCCTCTCACACCCCCACACCTTTGGCCTACACCTCAGTTCTTCTACACAAAAATAAATAAATAAAATCTTTAAAAAAGTTTAAAATTATCTGGATGTTAAGATGTTATAAAACTTGCCCCAACTGCTTTATTAGTAACAATTTATATGACTTCAGTTGTCCCCATAGATATACTGGTGGTGCTGTCCACCTCAATCTAAGCAGATTCTCTTTTCCCAGAGCTGTTTCCTTCTATGTTGTACTATTTTAGAACTTTCCAGATGTCCATATTTCTGTTTTCACCTCCTTTCCTGACAGGTTTTCCCTTGTGTTTGCTAATTACAATTTTATGAGCACAGTGTTTACATTTCCTATTTTATATTCTGAAAATGTTTAGTTCTTCCTATTCTGTCTTTACTTATATTGTCGAATATTTGAATAACAGCTAACATAATATCCAAATTTTATTGATCACTCTCCATATTCT